TCAGCAGGAGATTTTAAGGATGTGCTGCTGGGTTCTAAGAACATCCTGGAGACCTAAAAGCAAAGAAAGGCAGAAGTGCCTCAAGTGTGGAGTAACAAAGCCCACGAGATGGAGAGTGGCAGTTATGTAGGTGATAACCTCACATCTGCTTCACTGAATTGCCAAACAGCTCAACAAGAGGGATGTTTCCATTTTGTAGCCTTATGAGATGAAGCCAGGGAAGATGTGGGCTAGCTGCCTCCAGCTGAACTCACCTCTGGGGTCTCTGCTCAAACACAGACAGCAGAAGCCCTGAAACCAGAGGATCTCAGTTCACAGACTAGTCCTATAGTTTGTAAGATCCAGAGAAAACATGCCTCCAAGAGAGGTTGCCCCGGTTGGTGGGACCCAACCTCTGCAACACATGGGTACCTCTTCAGGCTCTGGCAAGTTGCATCTCCCCTTGCTGGAGTATGGCAACATCAGCTTAGTGGGAAAGTTTGGGAAGATCTCAACAGCTTTTGGGTCTCACAGGCTACAGTATTGACTCTGCACCCTCACCACCATCCCAGTGCAGCACAACTGTGCTGTCTGGCTTCTCACCTGTGGCTCCTGCAGTCTGGGAAGTCCCAGGGAAGAAGCCTGTGACGTGGCTGGGAGAGTTGCTCAGGTTTCTTCATCCTTGTCACCTACCATGGTGTTTGAGTGGCAGCAGCTCAGGACTGTGAGCTGATCTTGGGGTCTCTACAGACACTGGTAAGGAGCTCCTGCTCCCAGCCAGGTGCAGTGGCCCAGCATAGAGTGCCCAGGCGATACCCCTTGTTGTAGAACTGTGTTCCTCCTTGGCTGTACGAACTTGCCAAGTATTTCACAATGAGGAACCCGCGTTTTTGAGAATGACTCATGAGGCACCAAGTCTGCCTGGACTGAGACTAGGTTGCGCGTGCCGTAGTAAAATCTAAACCCACGTGGTCCTGGGATGAAGCTGGCACAGTCTAACAGCAAAGGGAGATGGGTTGCTGGCTCGGCCAATGCAGTGTATCACCCTGGAGAGTCTGCTCAGCCCCTTCATCCTAATTCTGCCGTTGACAGCTGAAAATTAAATGTGTTTCTGGAAAAGAAGGTGGGGAAGCCAGTCTCGCACTGGGACCCCTGCCCGGGGAGAGCCCTCTGCCCTGTCCTTCCTGCGCGTGTCCCAGCAAAGGGTGTTGGTCACTGACTTGGTTAGACAGTGAAAAAGGGCCCAGGAGGAGGTTGAGAGCGGTGAGCAGCTGGTCACCAGCACCTTGCACTGGGGGCCAGGGGATCAGCGTGGAGTGTGTGTTGCCTGGCCATGACTGCAGCCGAGCTGCTCAGGGAGCCTCCTGCTCCCTCCTGCCCTGCCTGTGTGCTGCCATCCTGCAGCAGGAGCCTCACTAAACATCTCCCACAGTCCCAGCCGCCTGGTCCGTCCCTGCACGTGATGCACGGCGCTTGACCCCGCATCTCGGGGAGCCTCCTCTCCCCGCCCAGGGCTGTGGTGTGAGTCCTGTGCCCACTGGCAACCAGAACGGGCAGCCCTCCACCACCTGCCACCCCGTGCCACATAAGGGAAGCAGTAAGGGCACAGGACCGTGAGCCAGAGCTGGTGGTGGCATTAACAGAGTAGCTGCTGCTCCGGCCTGGGTACCAACCACTGTCACTGTTAAGTGGTGAGACTGGCATTTGCCAGGCAAACACCAGGCTGCAGTGCTTCAGCAGTGCCTGGTTTAAGTTCTGTGCTTTTGAGGAGACCACAACCGTGGTGGCTGGTACCCTCTCCCCCGCGTGCGAGCTCTGCCGCCGAGCGGTAACGTCGGGCTGCGTGGCGTTCGGGTGCACTGACTGCGGCTTGGTGCATTCCAGGTGAAACCTTTGTTCTGGGAGATGGCCTCCCAGGGCCCTTGGAGCCTCGCCTGGACCCCATGGACTCTGCCTTGAATTCTGTCAATTCATCCAGCCACAGCAGGAGCTCCAGAGACTATCGCCTGCAAGGATACAGGCACCTGCACCAACCCTCTAGCCTCACCCAGGGCAGTACCTCTGCCTTGCGTAGGCTTAGCTCTGGGGGTAAGAGAGTTCAGAAGCCAGCCCTCCGATTGTAAATTTGGCAATAAAGGGCTTTTCTAACTCCAGTTACACCTTTCTAACTTCAGCAAGTACCAGAGACTGGCCTCTACACTGTTAACCAGGTAGTCTGTTAGGTTTAACGGTAGCTCTAGAGACGTGGCAGATGGGCGGGTGGAATTACGGAGAGGTGATGCTTGCAGGGTCACTCGTTCGGCGTCGTGACTAGGTGGGACCTGGAGGTCAGTGGATAGGAAGGAGGAGGCAGGAGCTGGATTTGCGAGCATGGGCAGGGGGCTGCCGAAGTGATACCTGGGTCTCTGAGTCTGTGAGGATGGACTGGGAACGGCCAGGGAGTGGAAAACTGCCTGACGGGGCTGGGACGTGGGGCGGGTGGCCGGGAGGGGCGCGATCGGCAGGTGTCCGTATGGCCGAACAGGGACAGGAGGGCTGTTCGTTGCGGTAAAGCAGCACGTGTCAAATCCAGGCGTTGGCAGAAGAAGTTGTCGTTTCAGGTGCACGGCATCAATTAAAGCATCTAAAAAGCTCAGGCTGCTGATGCCGTGGTCCGTATGCAGGCAGAGAGCTGGGACGAGGGGCTGTGCCGATGCCGGCACGTTGGGAGCAGGACTTTTGTTAGCTGGGGCCGTGCTTCAGTACAAGGGAATTGTGCCCGTGGGCTCAGTCCGTCAGAAAATGCAACCGATGAAAACGTAAAACAGCTTTGCCGTGTTAAAATTGCTGCAGGTGGTGTTGGGAGCAGGGGGAGAAATGGTGCGTGGGGAGAGAAGTGGGAACGGAGGGTTGTTTCCTGCGAAGGTGGGAACCGTCAGCAGGTGGGCAAGAGTAGGAATGGGGGGGCCAAACTCAGCTGAAGGAGAGCAAGAGGAAATTGGGGTTTAGAGTGAGGAAAAGGGTTCAGTGTAGGAGGCTGCCCTGAGGAGTAGGGCCTAAGGAGAGAGAATAAGGCTGCGGTGCTAGACCTGTGCCACGGGAGTCTCTGGGGCATGGCTGGGACGTGCCCTTGGCATTGTCTGTGCCGTTGGTTTGAGAGAGGAGACTGAGTGGTAGAGGGTGAATAACTGCTGGTGATGCTGCGGGGATGCCTGGAGTAACGGCCGCTGTCTCGCCCTTCCTCCCCAGGCTCAGACAGATACCTGGGATCCCGAGACGTCTCGCGGCTGGGCAGCCGCGACCCCTCGTCCTGGACGGTGGAGGAGGTGATGCAGTTCATACGGGAAGCGGATCCACAGCTGGGACCCCACGCTGACCTCTTCCGAAAACACGTAAGTACGTCTGTACGTGCGTGTGTGTACGTATATATCATATATGGGAGGGGGCAGATCATCACACAAGGGAAATCGGGGGGGTCAGAAGAATGGCAGGCC